TGACGAGTGTTGTATTGTGAGCGAGCTTTATCTGCGCGCTTTTGTAGTTGGCAGGTTAGACCAAGTGTTAATTTATTAAAAATTGTTCAAAGCGAGTTGAACACGTTGTTGACCAGTTTTAGATCGAAAACGAGTTTTGTACGCTTTAATGTTTTTTTAATTTCTCATTATCCTTTTCGTTGAGAAAGACAATTGAACTTTGACCCATTGTTGACGCATTTTATATCGAAAGCAAGTTTTATCCGCTTTTGTAATTGACAGGTTGGGTAAATTGTGAATTTGTTAAGACTGGGTCGACCCGGTCAAAGTGAGTTAAACGCAGTGTTGAGAGTTTGGGGTCATGAGCGAGTTTTATCCGCTGTAGTATTTTTTTTTTTTTTGCAAAATACACTTGTGTAGCCAAAACTGTCACGTTTGTGCCACTTATAACCACTTTTGGCGAAATACCACTTATAGCCACTTCCGTCCAATTCTTTAACGCTGTTAACGTCAAGTGTGACTGGGCAAACGGAGATGCTGACGTGGCAAGCTCTTATCTTCAATTTTGTTTGTAAATATACACGTGGATTAACTTTAAAAAAAAGGAACGAAACCACTCATCCCTCCCTTTTCACTTTCCCCTTTCCCTCTTCGCTACTCTCTCTTCCGCCACCAACGGCCCCGACGCATCCCTAATTAATCCCTAATTGAAATTGTGACCTTGGTCACAGAAGAAGACAAAGAAGAAGGACGGGGCTGTCACTTCTCATCTTCTGATCAAGGGAGAGACTAACACTATGTTTCCGAAGGAAGGGAGGAAAAGGAGGGGAGGTGAAGGAAAATTAGGAGGGGAGGGGAGATTTGGAGGTGAAGGAAATTGGGAGGAAAATGTTGTTTTATGGAGGAAAGTGGGAAGGAAAGTGTGTATTGGAAATTGTGATGAATATGTTATTTTATTGGTTATGTAATAGTGAAATAATGTGATTGTGTGTTAATATTTGATAGTGTCAACCTATATAAAAATTTTGTTTGCTATTTTGTTGATTTATTGACATAGCAACTAAAAACATAAACAAATAACACATCACACTACGTACACATGCTACGATTTAATAACTCTTCATTCTTTTACTGAAATGATTATTATTGTTTGGCTACTTCTTTGTTACTAATTAATTTTGTTAGGCAGCAAACTGAAGGCTAAAAAGGCACCGGGACTAATTTGATTATATTCATGCTGGTAATTAAAAGGATCACTTATCTTGTTTTGGAGATTAAGTACGAACAAATAAGAATGTGAGAGAGTGGGTAAAGTTAATAATCTTGTATAACAATTAATGAAGTTGGCAATTGAATTACTAATTAATGTTATTTTGTGTTGGGAACTAGACAAATATTAAAAAAAAAAAGAACATGCATGTATGTCCTTCAACCTTCATTCCCTCTTCTTTCTCTCCAATTTGGAGGTGAGGGTTGAATAGTACCAAGAAGAGAAAGTTTTCCTCTCTTCCCCACTTTCCCTCCACAAAAGAACAAGGGAAAATGCATTGGGAAGCTCACTTTCCTTCCCCATTTTTCCTTTCCCTCCTTTTCTCTTCTTAAAAAACATAGTGTAAAGAAAGCCTCTTTTCACTGGCGATTTCAAGTGGAGAAGGAAGCAAAGATTTGTGGCTGGGCAACCCCAAAGCTCCGGCGACTCCATCTTCCCCAACATCGGAGACTCAATTGCAGCAACAAGATTGGACCCGCCACCATCCCCAATCCCGTGGGGATTCACAAGCGTCCTGAGATACAAAAACTCGAAGCTGGTATTCGTCGGGCGGAGCTTGTGACTGGATCCGGAGCCCCGATCCGGATTCACAGAGTAAATTCGGGGCTCGTTGGCGCTCCGGTTGCAGCTGCAAAAGGAGAAGGCAAGAACGGCGGAGACGATGCCAGCGGCGGCGAGGGAGGAGAGGGAGAGGGAAACAGCGATGAACTTGTGGAGTTGTGGGAGGATGCGAAAGGTTTTGGGTGGTGAAGGAGCTGTAGATGGAATTGGGGATGAGGTGAGGAAGAAGATCATTTGTTTTATTTTGTTTTTGTATAAAACTTTATTTTAATTAAAAATGACGTTGCATCAGGGAGATAAAAGAAATTGGGGAAAATTAAATTTATTTATTAATATGACATGTAATTATTAAATAAATTTTAATTGTAACGTGTCACTTTCGACTTACTTGGCGTTGACGTGTGCGCTGAGTTGGCGCCTAGTCAACAAACTGTCAAAGAAGTTGACGGTGTTAGTGACACCGTTAAAGTATCTAACAGGAATGGCTATATTTGGCACGCAACATCTTTAAAAAGTGGCTATAAGTGGTATTTCGTCAAAAGTGGCTATACGTGGCACACACGTGAAAGTTTTGGCTACACAAGTGTATTTTGCCTATTTTTTATCTTTTTTCTTTTGGTTGAGAATGACAATTGAGTCCAAACACATTGGTATACAACCTAATTCAACCCGACCAAAGCGACTTGACCCGATTTTACAGGTTTTCAGCGGGAGGGAATTTTATCTGTTTTATAATTGGCGGGTTGTGTCATGTGTGAATTTGCCTAAAACTCGGTTCAAACAAGTCAAAACGAGTTGAACCTGGTGTTGACGAGTTTTGAGTCGGTAGCGAGTTTTAGCCTTAGTGTTTTTCATTTCGCTTTTTACTTTTGTTTGAGAAAGACAATTGAACCCAAATCCAAGGATATCCAATCTAAACACTCAACATTTTTTTAATACTTCTTAAAAAGATCCAGAGAAGTTTCTTTCTGCAAAATTTATAGCAGGATCAACTACTAGTCATACAAATTGAAACAATAGCATGATGAAAGAAGTTTAAACATAAATACTCTATTTTCAACGACCCTTCAACCTTATACAAGTTCATCGATCATATGCTATTGTAAATAACAAATCTATAAAAAAATTATTAAAGATGATAAGATTACTTTTACTTTTGGGTCAACGTTAAAACTATTACGCCGCCGCCCTTCCTCCCACCAGTCTATCACTAGATCTCAACTCCACCACCTCCGGCACCAGCCACCACCCCCTCTTCATCCACCAGCACCGCCGCTGGACCGCCGCTATCTCCTTCGGTCCCCGCTTCTCCGTCGGCCAGTTCCTCCAGACCGGCGTCCTCAAGGAGATCGCCGCCGAAACTCTAGTAACCGTCGCAGCTCCTCCTTCGCCATCGTTTTTGGGGATTGTGAGGCGCGGCTTGCCTGTTGATTTGAACGAGCCTCCTCCTTTGTGGTTGTGAATTTTAGTTCGGTGGGCCGCCGAGTTCAGCGGAGAAGCCGAAGAAAGGGAATTGGAAATTGGTATATGCCGCATCCCCGTCACCGAGAAGCAAAGCAGATATCATCGAGGCGTCAAGTCCTCCCTTCCATGTCCCAGATCCGATACTTCGGTGTCGACCGATAGCTCCGCAGCACCTTCGGTTGGCCTATCGATTCGGTGGCCAAGATTCGCCTCTGCCATTCCTCCTTCCCTACTTTTCGATTATTATTGATTTGTTTGATTTTTGATTGATTCAACTTCATATTTCTTTGGTTCTGTTTCTATTTCGAGATTTTCAACCAGACTGATGCCTTTTCTCCTCCGCCCAACTGCTGCCTTTCCTGGTTGGGCATACTATGAAGTGTTCCCTTGGTTCGGTGGTGGTGTATTTTTTTCTTTGTTTCTGTTCAATGATGCAGGGTCACATTTTGTCACTGTATTGGTACCGCCAGTTAGCTTCTATCTCCCCCGATGTCTGCCGCCGCCGTTGGAGCCGCGATTCTCGCCATTGGCCGATTTCATCTTTGGTTGGCTTGCTCGGTCGCATTGGTGGATTCGTCTGAGAGAGGACGCGTGGCTCTTGGGATTCTCTCCTTTTCTTATCCCGCATGACAATTGTAGTGGTGGTGGCCTAGTGGTCATGGCTGGATTAGACGCGTGGCAATTGCTGCAATCAGCACTCAGAAGTAGCGTGTCATCTTCTTGGCCCGTCTGCCTTTTCCTTGTTGGGCCATGGTCTCAATTTGCCCGTATGCCTTTTATGGGCTTTGATGGGCCTTCTTTACCAACTTATTTGGCATTTGGCCCTCGACCTTTTTCTTTGTTTGTTTTGCAGGTTTATTGGTTTCTACCGACCCAGGAACTCCCTCTTGAGTCTTGCCTCTGCTTGGTGTTATGGGCCACTTCAATCCACTAGATATGTCTCCGTCAAATCCTAGGTGGCATCAAGGAGGTGTAGCTGCTTTTTTCGATTGTGGAATTTCTACTATTTTGTAGCCTATGTGATTGTTCATTTTGCAGGTAGAGCTGCTTATAGGGCTGTCCTTTTGTGGCACTAACGGCCCTTTCATAGGTAATTCGACAACAGTCAAACTATCTGGTTTACTTTTGTACTATGGGGTCGTTTGGAGAATATGAGTTTAAATCTATGGATTGTCAACAATCTAAACATTCTAACTCTTTAGATTGTTGAAAATAGATTTTAAAATGTCTATTGTTTGGTAACTGTGATTGTTAACATTCAATGAAAATAAAAAATTAATTTTATATTAAATAATATGTTTATCATTAATAAAAATTAGAGTGGTTCGAGAAATATTAAAAAATTTGTTGATAAATATATTTAATACGATAAATAAATAAAAGAATGAGAAAAAATAGGAGAAAAAAACTCTCACAAATCAAGATATAGAATCTTTCTGATTATGAGAGATTTGATATTCGTAGATTTTAGAGATTTGAAATCTCTAAAGGTCAAATCCACAATAAAAAAGCAACAAAAAAACATAACTTTCTACGAAATCTATGGATTCAATGAATCCACACCCTAAATCTCGTTCTCTAAACGACTCCTATGTATGACTCTCGATTACTACATTTATGGATGTCTATGTTAAAAAAAAAGGTTAAAACTATTGCTTTTTAAAATACTTATTTGATAGCAAAAGCTGAGCTTTTGCTAGTAAATCTCATTTAACAACCTAACAATCATTCGAAGAACTCTGTCATTTGTCAACTATCCTCATGAACTCGAGGTAAGACTTCCCGTTCAATCTTCGAGCAAAGAACTCCTTGAAGTAATCCTCCACCGGAACTTGCTGAAACGCCGGTGGATTTCGTGGCCCGACGAGGCTACGAGCAGGCCCCAAAGTACAATCCAACTTGCAGCTGTAGAACGTTGCAACTGACAGCCTCTCCCTTGTGGAATTCACTGCTGCCCTGTGTTCAATGCTCCGATAAACTCCATTGCTCACAATCTGCAAAACCCCAATGTACTTGCATTAACAAACAGTGTCATTTGCACAAACTGAATTGCTGACAGGAAATGCGCAATGGTATACCTCCATGATGTCCCCAACGTTAACCACAAAAGCATTTGAAAGAGGTTTGATGGGAACCCATTTCCCGTCCTTGCGAATCTGCAGCCCTTCAGTCTCGTTCAGCTGGTAGAGAATCGTCAAGGCATCAGCATCAGAATGCGGAGTAAATCCAATGGTCTTGTTGGGTTCGGGACACGGTGGATAGTAGTTCATCCTGATTGACTGGACTCCATTCGTGAACAGGTCCTCCATTTCATTGACATCCATTCCTAAAGCTCTTGACATGTGACTCAAAATCTTCAGTGCCAGCTTTCTCATCTCCATAGAGTAAGCTTCTACCGTCTCTCTGCAGAATTGCAAACACACACACAAATGCAATTGCCTGAACTGTTCATACATCAGAACATCCAAGAGATTCATTCATTCATTCAACCTGCACTTGTGAGGGAGCTTGTCGAATAGCTCGTTCTGTCGAATATGGCTAGGCAGAGTAGTTATGTAGAACATATCATTCCAGTCTAGCTTCTGCTCTTCCGAAACCACAAACAGCTGCCCGAAACCCTCGTGGTTATCGGGCTGCTGCCACAGTTGCTTCCTCTTCTTCTCCTCGTATGGGAGTTGGAACAGATTCTCAACCTCAACCCTCAATTCCTCTAGCAATGTTATACTAACTCCATGATTCACAACCTAATTTCAGTAATCCCAGCAAAGCCTAAATTATTCAGTTCGAGCAAGCAAAACTACATCTACATGGACAAAACTTGGAGGGTGTAGATTCGATTGTGGTGTTTACCTGGAAGAATCCCCAATCTTTGCAAGCAGAGTGCAAATTCCCCAACTCAGAATCGGAATCCATTGAACTTTCGTCACCGGAAGCAAGTTTTTGAAGATCAATCACTGGAACCGTCCAATCTAGGTCACCGGAGACGACGAGCGGTTCGATTTGGGGCCTTTCGTACCTCGGAGGAAGCTTTTCATTGCATTCCTTTGCGAGTTCTTGAACACTGGGCACAATGAGTGATCTCCCGAAGTTAACTGGTTCCACTGCCGGTGATGGCGGCGACGACTCCATGACCGTCGGCTTCCTCCTCTCCGAGTTCTGGGAAGTGACCGGAGCGGCGAGATTTCGAGGTTTTTCAAACCGATTGACAACCGACTTGGGGAAGTGGAAATCAATCTGCCGACGGCCGATGACGTGATAATAACGACAAACGTTTCCTTCTTCAAATTGCCAATTGATTATTCGGGCGGGGAACACGTTGCATTTGCAGTGATGATGATCGAGAGACACGTGGAAGCGTGGGTCAGGCCCAGTGTCATTGAAAATTGAGGTTGAGGCCCGTAGTTACTAGAACTGATTTTCGGGCTTTCCAAACTAATGGGCTGGGCTTTCTCAACTGAACTTTGGACCTCCGGATCTTTCTTCCGGCCCGACTGTTCGGCTTCCTGGCTCCACTTACCGTCCACCTTTTAAGCCGCTGTCTCCTACCTCTCGAACAGAATTCCTGATTTCCCACCATCTTCCAATTCCAACGAACCGTCTCCAGGAAAAAAGAAAACTCTCCGTTAGAAAACAGCAGCCAAGAAACGCCGACGGCACCGGCCACCAAGCGATCGCGGTATGGCGGTGGAGGATTCGCAGAAGTCAGCGGCACCGACATCCGAAGAGGTCACCAATGCTAACCCTAAGCCGCATGGCGACGACGTCGCCGGGAGCGGCGAAGTGCCGGAAGGAGGAGAGATCGTCGGGGACAGCGACAGCTCGTCCAAGAAATCAAGCGCCGTGCCTTACAAGCCGCACCTGCTCGAGAATCAATGGACCTTCTGGTTCGATAATCCATCCGCCAAGTCCAAGCAAACCGCCTGGGGCAGCTCCATGCGCTCTATTTTCACCTTCTCCACAGTGGAGGAATTCTGGAGGTGATGATTCTTTCTTTTCCGTTTCTTTTTGTGCGTTGATCGATGTGGAACGGCCTGATCTTGATGCGGTTTCACGAGCTTGTTGTCGGTTTATGGCTTTGCTTGAGCTCGATATGGTTTTGGAGGAGAGGAGATTGGGGCTTTGGTGCTTGGGTCCGTTGTATGGCGAAAGTTGATAATGTGGAGTAGATTTCTTTGATGCCTTTGTGTTAATGCTTTTTTCTTTGAGCCATTGTATGATGGGGAATCTTGAGCTTCTTTATATGGTCTCTGCTTATGATATCGTTTTTGGCTTGGGTAGTTCATAAACTGAAGGAATATCCTCAGAAGAATTTGGCTCTAAGTGTTACCCGGAACTCTTTTATCTGTAATTCGGTTGCTTGTGTCCTTTAATGTTATTCCTCGCCTGTGCGTCAGCTAAATGCACTGGGGTTTACAGCCTATAATCCTTCATATCTTCTGTGTCATTTTGTATATCTTAGGGGCCTTAATGAACTTATGCTTTGGAATGTTACTGGGAGCACATTGATTATAACTTGTTTGCACTCCATTTGCGGAGAAACGAATTGGGTTGGTTAGTTGGAGGACTTGGTCTCAGTTGTTGTGAACCTGTTGTTTTCTACATCTCAAGGTACTCGAGTTTCGATAGATGACTTCTCTACTAGCTTGTAACTTTTACCCTTTTTTCTTAAAGGCTTCAGCGTAAAAGCCACCATTGGTTGATGTTTTCATACAGTGCTTTGCATTCTTTAGTAGCTTTAAATTAGGGTCCCTGATTTATTGTTTCTGAGAAAACCTTGACAGCTAGATACCTGCTTGCTCTCTCTCAGTTGTTCTGTTTAGTGTTTGTTCACCGCAGTGAAGCCTTTCCTGATCTTTTTTTTCCCAGTATATCTTAGTTATTATCATAATCCTGAGTCCTGATAGCCTTCCCGACAAGGGAAACAGCTCTCAATTGTTTAACTAACTCATGGGAGAATAGGGATAAATTAGTGCCGAGTTATTAAGTCACTAGAGCATATCATGCTCGCCTTTTTTCCCCTTGTAATGCTTTGACTGGAGGAGTGGATTTTGTTGGTTCATTTGAATACTGGTATTTGTATATAGCACTAAGGAATCTGTTTGGTAGAGAGACCCATGTATCCCATTTCTGTATTTGTTTTCTCATGTAAATCACTATGCCTTCTTTTTCTTTCTTTTGGATCTTCTTAAGATCCTAAGCCTCTATGCTGATTGACATTTTTATCTGGGGTTCAGTGTCTACAACAATATTCGTCATCCAAGCAAGCTCACTGTGGGAGCAGACTTCTACTGCTTCAAGTCCAAGATTGAGCCGAAGTGGGAGGACCCTATTTGTACTGGTGGAGGAAAGTGGACTGTGACTTTCGGGAAAGGGAAATCTGATACCAGCTGGCTATACACAGTAGGCTTTTAATCAGTATTTATGTCTCTTCATTCTGGCAACTGTGTACATCATGCAGCCTCTAATTTACGCCATGTTATGTTTAGCTGCTAGCAATGATTGGGGAGCAATTCGAACATGGAGAAGAGATTTGTGGTGCTGTTGTCAATGTGAGGGCTAAGCAGGAGAAGATTTCTCTTTGGACCAAGAATGCTTCAAATGAAGCCGCTCAGGTATGCAGAAGATTATATAACATATATGCTCATCACATCTTTATTTGTTAGTGGATAATCAATGCACAATGTTGCGTGTAGCTGAGCATCGGGAGACAATGGAAGGTGTTCCTCGACTACAATGATGTTATTGGGTTCATATTCCATGTAAGTATGGTGTTTACAAATGGTCTCTGTTTCTTTTCTCCTAAGCAAGCAAGTCGAAGTGTGTTTGACTCTGAATCGCTGCTGTCATTTTCAGGATGATGCAAAGAAGCATGACAGAGGTGCCAAGAATCGCTACACTATCTGAGCTGTTGAATCTCGTCTATGAGAGCATTGAAATCCTGTCATGGAAGTCTCTGTCCTGGCTTTGGGGACAATTAGGGGTAGATTCTTTTGTCATGTGACTGAAGTTCCATTTCGTGTCGTAATTTTGGCTCTCTTACCTTGAGATGCAGTAGTTTGCAGGAAGTAGGGACATATATAGCTTTACAGAGTTCCAACTTCCATGCAACCAAATTTTGGCTTCAAATATAACGGTCACTGTTGTTTGAAAATACTCAGACCTTGTTCTTCTAAACTACCAGTACGTTATAGTTTTGAACACCGTATAAAACACCGAAAACTGATTTAGCAGATGGAGCGAAAGATGTAAACTTTTCTAAATTGCTGGTATGGTATGGTTTCTAACACCGATTGAAACACAACTAGTTCATCCTTAGATCGGCCAAAGACCGATTTAGCAGACGCACTCTTGTAAACCGCTGATACGGTATGGTTTCAAACACCGAATAAAACATAAACTACATATATCGTCCAGTAATATATTAGCGTACCAAGATAGTTCACACCGTAGTAATTCTTCAACCCAGTCCACAACAACAGCAAATCGTGCGCACTACAAAGAACCACATCTATTCTATAACTGCCGTCTACAAAATTATACTCATTTACAATCCAAATATCCCTTTCCTCTCTGCGAAGGTTAATTATTAACAGGCAGCAGTTCAGGAAGAAGAAAAACATGGAACACAAGCACTTGCTTAACTGATGTGGGTTTTTTCAAGGCAACAGCTCGCCGTCCTCGACATCTCCATCTAACAACTCATCGACATTGTCGGTCTCATCGTCCTTGAAGAACAGACCTAATCGCTCCAGCGGGCTCAAGGGGCTTCCAAACGCACTTCCTCCACCCTCTCTTCCTCTGAAAGCTTTCTCACACCCTCTTGGACTGACTAACAGCAGCCTACACCCAGATAGATCTTCGAGTTCTTTCAATACCTCTTGGCTCGCCTCAATCTCGACACTTCTCTCAACCTGGAATTATAATATTTTTCAACGAAGGTATTACGATGCGACGAAAAGACTAGGATTGTGATTATGAAGTGCATGCCATAAGGTAGCAAGAATCAATCACCTTAAGCACTGCAACCCGGGCAGCTTCTCTTTCCCGTTGCCTTTGCTCCTTCAATTCCATCTCCTGTTGCCTCTGGGAGGCAGCTTCAGCTTCTTTGATCTGGGCTTCAATTCTTGCTTTCTCTGTATTGATAAAAAGGTTAAACAAAACTTAATATAAGAACTTTTAGGACAAACAAACAGACAGCTCTCATAGGAAAATGAAAAGGGAACTAGCAACTACAATCAAATGACACACACTCATGCCATCATCAATGCATATAAAGCTGTTTCATCCAGGAACAAAATATTCAAAATCAAGAAAGGGTAAAGTTTATTGCAGATTGTTAACACTAATGGAAAAGGTTCTCTCCCCTCAAAAAAACAATAAACCCAACATTGGAACATTTTTCCAGACCTCCAAGTTTAGAAAAATCAACAGAATGTAATACAAGGAAACATCAGCTGAACAACACTTTACAGTGCACAACGAAGATAGTAAAAAGGAATGCAATATAAATTATATTAATTGTTTGATTATAATACAACAAGACAACAAATACCTTCATGGTGCATCCTTTCCAATCTCTCCTTTTCCCGCTTCATCTTTATTGATTCAGCCTTATCACCCTGAACAATGGGATGTTGGGATTTACCATAAGCAAAGGCTTACATTACAGCAAGCAAATGCTTGTTCAGGACTTGTACACAACAGGCACAGGGAAAAAGAAAAGTGAGGAGGTAGAAGAAGAGACTAGGAATTACATGATCAAGTAGTGTTTTATGCTTTGCCTTCAGAATCGTGTATGCAAATCGTTCCTTAATTATTGCAGCACGTAGGGCTCTTTTTGGTGACATTTGGTGTGCTTCAACTACATCAGATCTCCAATCTAAGCACAAGCCCAAAACACAACTTAGAGAAAGATGCAGAAAGTAATCAAATAAAAAATATAATAATTCAAAGACCAGAAGTCACGCTGACCTTCTCCAGAAGTTGCATCAGTAATAGGCGTTACAAGCAGCGAACTAGGGCATACATTGTCCTCATCTGACGCACTCACGGTACCTTTTTCAAGTTCCATGATACAATCAGTCACTGAAAAGAGGCGAAATGCATGATTTCGGATAGAAAAGGGATAAAGACCTCACCATCAGAATCTGGATCTGACCGGCTCATCTGGGAAGTCGAGATAACATCTGGCAGACAGTCCTATTCAAAGTGCACATTGATATGTCATGCATTGACATTATATGGCCACTAAGGAGACAAAAAGAAGATGCAATAGCAAAAAGTTGCCTGTCCTACCATTCTTCTAGTATCAGTGCTTCGGGAGAGATCTCTGCTAAATGATCCATCGCTGGATGCATCTGAAGCAAGACGTACACGAAGATAATCATCAATTATCAGTCACATATTATACACCAAATAGAAGGAGGAAGAGGAGGGTCAACTACCTGACAACACATTAATTGAATTCATCTGAAGGATACATGCACAAGGGCCCCTGCCACAAGTACCACATTTGCGAACCACTATCCTCATTGGTGGTTTGGCATTGACAAGACCATGAGCATGTCCAGGACCTTTTCAATTGACCATAAGGATACTGCTGATTAGCTCCTGTAATGAGCTATAAACCAGAAAATACAGTTGGTGCCACTTCATACCTTTGTGTGACTTCTGCACACAGCTACCAGCAGCTTCGGAATTCTTAACCTAGCAAACAAAACAGACCGAATGTCTTACATCACCACTTAATTGAAATACATGGAAATGAAAGCAGCATCATGACTAATACCAACAGCCAGCTAATAATAATGGGCAAGTTAGCTCAAGTTGAACAAGATAATTCAATACTTACCTCAACAGCCTGGGCACCCAAAGAGCCCCTTTCCACCTTCTCTTTTGATGGCTTTGAGTTTCTAGATAGCATAGCATTGCGTGGAGGTGGCGTTCTGGGGCAATTCTGTTTCATACAGTTGCTTCCCTTAACCTGCGCACCAAGTAACTTTGCCTTTCCATATTTTGACATTTCATAACTCCATTTATCCTCTAATAAACCCCATCTGGTGTCAAAAATTTCACCAAGCTCCATGGCCTGCTGATGCACAGGGTTACTTGGTGGGTTATACAGCATAGCATTGTCAAACGTCAACCTAACATCAGCTGCAAATTCTTCAGTACTGGCATATGCATTCTTAGACAACTTGGACTTTATGGTCCCAAGATCCATAGGATGGGATATGACGGTGAAATAATCAGGAATCATCAGTTTGACAGGATCCACTGGCTCAGAGAAAACCCAACCATCTGGATGGCCAGTAAGAACTTTCAGAAGAGCCAAGCACTGCTGCTTAACGGTACGATCCATTTTCCACCTCTTAAGCGGACGACCATCTAAATCCATTGATGGGCCACGCTTTTTAGAGCATAACACACCAACTTTACCATTCTGTGATGCACATGCCGGAGAACGAGAAGAAAGATCCGCAGACAACTTTTGTGCAACACTACACGAACTTGCCCCGGAATCAACTTCAGCCTTCGGGGTGGAAAATTTTATCTTCAAAATCTTCTTGGTAACAACAGTTTCGGCAGCTCCCATGATGATCAATTGCAGGAACACAGGTGCAGAAAGCAAAGGTTCCCCAATTACATGCACCTTATGAACCCATCTCCAAAAGGGCCGTGACACTGGAAACTGAAATCATCACGGACGTATGGAAAACCTGCTGGGCAAAAGAACGCCACATCATAAGGTTTGAACGCAATAATAGCAAGGGGTAACCCAAGTAAAGCACCAGAAAAGTAATCGCAGGTCAACCCCCATAACTCCTTTAGGCTACCGAAAGGACAAACTCTCCCCAGAAACATAAACCCAATTCACCCACGAAGAGCAAGACGAACACATAAACTAGGGTTTCCCTAATGCAAAATCAAACCGCCGAAGGGACGGGAGAGAATCCTAGTACAGTATCACAAATTCTCAAATCCTAGGAAAACAAGGACGAAAACCTCAGGTGCACAATGGGTACCGCGCAGTATCTAGATCGAATCGAAAACGGGACAGAAAAGAAGCAGTGATTTCGAAAAGAACTGCAAGCAACCGACCGAAGCTATTTCCAAGGAACTTCACCCAAATCGACAAGCTCCATGGGATTCGCAATTCGAATCACACAGATCAAGCTAACCCTAGATGCCCTAGAAAGGAAGTAATTCGAAACAGTACGCAGCGCGATTTCGGGATCTCGGAGGAGACTTACCGTGGCCTTCCGCCAAATCAACAAGCCCTTGAAGACAGATCGAACGAAGCGAATGCCCCTCGAAGAGAGACGCGAGAGATAGACAGTCGGACCGCGACCCGAGCAAGCCAGCTAGCGACGACCTGCCGGCGAGAGAAAGTAGAGAGGGGAGAACGGCGAAGGGTAATGGAGGCGCGAAGGTAGTGGAGAATCAGATACTGGGAAGGCGGAAAAAAAAATCTCTCTTTACTGGGACCTTCTCCTTCTCCTTGTTTTCTAGGGTTTTTATTTATATATTACGAATTGATTTGGGGAAATTGAAATTGAAAAGGAAAAGGAAGAAAAGTCTCGTTTGTCTGTCAGAAAGCAAATTACCGGCCGACAGCGACCTTTTTCATTGGAGGGTCAGTCCGTCGTCGTGTACGTTTTCTCTGTGCTGTAAAAATAATTAATAAAACAAAGTTTGGCCGCCGTTAATTTTAAAATTACCGCGTTTTTCTCTAAGTGAAATGACTGGTTAGCCCCCCTGGTTGACGGTCAATTGGTCAAGGGCTAACATTTTGATGAGAAGTACTTCAACTTATAGATACCTTTTTTTTGGGATTAATAGGCATACATGATACAAGCCCCTCAACTATGGAAAGCTAACAAATGAGCCCCTGAACTATGCTTCTAACGAAAGAAGTCCTTGTACTATAGTTCGATAACAAATAAGCCCTTCTATTAACATTCTCTGACCGAACTCTACTTCTAAACCACTTATATTGTGTTGTCAATAGAAAGTAGCACACTAGTACAGTCAGGGGCGGACCCAGGACAGTTTGAGGGTGTCCTGGGACACCCCTAAATTTTGGGAAATGATTTTTCAACCCCGTTGGTAATTTATATATGGACAAAAAAATTATAATTGATATTGATGAACGCCCTTGAAATTTAAAAAAATATTTTCCTACTCACATTTTTAGATTGCGTATGGGAATATAAGTGGTAGTTTGGGTAACTCAAACCCCGGACACGATTATTATTAATACATAATTTCCATTAGGCTACTTTGTTGTTTGATTTTAAACACTGTGTAATAGTAAAATGTCATTCCCTATCTATAATATTTTTCAAAACCTAACAATTAAACTAATTTCAAGCTAACCTTAATTTGTATTGATTTCATGGTTGTACGACAAGTGTTGAAAGAGTTTTTTCAACCTTGAATTATATCAAGAACAAATTTAGAAATCGAATATGCGATCAGTTCATGAATAATTGTCTAGTAGATATACAAAGAAATGTTTCTTGTGCACTGTAGACACCAAATATATTCTACAATTATTTCCTAATATGAAAACACATCACAGACATTTTTTTAACTTGTACGAGTCATGTATTTTCTTATTTAATAATTAAAATTCTTTACTTTTATTTAATTTATTTTTTAAAAGAGGACACTCCTAAGTAAAATTTCTGAGTCCGCCATGGAATACAGTATTACTTTTAAATTTACTGTCAGCACAACCGCATACTTTTCATTACAAAGATCATGAATCATTACATGAAGTTCTTGGACTTCTGTCACAACCTTGGATTTAACCATTTTGTACTCAAGGACTTGAACCGAAAGAACACTTCCGTTGCCTGAAATCTACACCAAAAATTATGTTGGGTGGGCAATTGGACTGATCATGCAAACCCAACAACTTCGATGTAACCGGTTCGATTTTGGGTGGTTTGAACTAAATTATAGCCAAATTGGTAAGGTTCAAAAAATCCAATAAAATCTTTTGCAAAAAGCCAAAGCCAAGTGAGCAATAACATCACAAGGACTAACTTCTTATCATTCTCTTACTAGCCATAGTGGACTACTTAATCCATTATCCACTTTCACTTTCTCATTTCACCAATGCAGAAGGAATGAGTTTCCACCTTCCATTCCATCCATCTCCATTCACACACAGAATCCCAACATATAGTAGCAACTCTTTGCATTTCATATAAAATTATGAGGCAACAAGACGTGCACATGTAAAGAATTTATCGTTCTTTAGACAGGACAAGGAAGGAGAAAATTCATATGGTTTCAAAATCACAAATCTTCATGGACATGGTGCAGACGGTAGCAGAAAGCCATTGTGCAGGTATATATGCAATTGACTACGGCTGTATACAATACACTACTAACATCTTGGTCGCTGGAATGTACATAACAAATTTGCTTGGAATGGCAGCCATGGTGAATCGGAAAAAAAAGAACATGGTTGCTGGAGGAAGTAAGAAGATGACAGCAGAAAGTTGCAGCTGATACAACTGAAGCGATAAAAACTGCTTTGCCTAGGGCAGATATCTCTGGTTTTCTTTCTTCTGTGGCAAGTTTTGACACAACTTCTTTGATGTTTTGCTATCGATAAGCTGTCAAAAACGATCTAGTCTACCTTCCAACACTCAATTCAGGTCCTCACTCTCCATGCCAATGAAGTATTGGCAAAACATGAACACACACCCTGCACATTCAAAGAAGTTATGATTAATGTTCTATAACTACCAAGCAACTAGAACACACGATCAGCTTTTAGATCCAGCGATTCTATCATGAATTCCCAAGTTCACACCTCTTGGGAAAAAAGAAGACGAAGACTGTTTGTATGACCAGCAAAGTCTGAAGTAACTTTACCATTTCACCGCAAGCTGATATCGTTTCATGCATATGCTAGCAAGGGTTCTCTTGAGCTATCGTCATACTTGCTGCTGTAGTGATAGTATAATGCCAATTGAACTACCCCCAGAATTGTTCCAATTCCATTCGGTACCTGCATCAAGAGAGATGCCCAAAAATAACATTCGTCAGCATGATGCATAAAACCTGCAACGGGCTTGTAAGTTCTATCAGTCGGTATTGAATTGGCCATGTTGAACAGAACAAACCAGATGGTACTTTATAGACGTGATATGCAAGCTTAGGAAAGGAACTTTGAATAATGTCATCCAAGAGTGGAATTGTCCCATCACAAATATATGTTTGTCTATGTGTGCGTATTTTCATGAAGATTGGAGTAAACAAATGAATAAAAAGTGTCACTTACAGATATGAAACCATCACCCTTAAGCATGCCATAAGCAAAAAATGAGAGACTCATCAAGAAGGTAGCAAGTGAGAGGAAGAACGGCATATATTCGACACTCCTAGTCTTCACCACCAGATTCTGTCCCCAAAGATAACCATCAAAACTGTTAGATTGACGTGAATGAACCCAAACATCTTAAAGCAAATAAAGTCAGAATGTAGAGATATTCAGCTTACAATAATAAAAAGTGGGGAAGCAAACATGGATATCAGAGAGAACACACTCAGATATCCAATGAACAACTGCCGAGTGTGCGAATCCAGGAATCTCAAGCTCACAAAGGCGATACCAGCAAATAATGCAAACACCAGAACAAGCAGTACAGACATCTTGAGCTGCAGCAGACATTCAAACAACAGTTTAAGTCAGTAGGAAGAGCAACCACACCATTTCAACACAACATGAAGAGGGGGGCAGGATAACCATTTACCTTCTTAGACTTATCAGCATAGGCAATGAAGATAGCGATGTAGATGAACTGGAAGACCGCCCCAATCGAATTAACAGTCGCAACCAATATGATGTTGGGAGAGATGAATGGCATCCCATACCAAAGGCAGATCAAGCAGTTCAAAAGGGAATATATGTAAGGCAACCCAGAGAACTGCTCCGTTGACTGGTTTCTGATAATTCTCCTGAAGGTTGGTCTGTAAATAACAAACAGCAAACATTCAGAAACCATCCATAAACCTCAACCTTATGATCTAAACCCCACAACAACAAAAGGATTGCCAGAACTTACATGGGTGACACGAATAATACAAAAGCACATAGATTTCCTGCAAGCAAGGAAGAAAACAACAAACTTTGAGTTCAAAATCCAATCAATTTTCCCAGAACATAAATCTCTCTATCTGCAGAAGGGGGAAACTAAAATGCAGAGGTCATTGCCAAAATTTCCCCCATCCTTTCTTTCTCCGGCGACCCTTTGCTTGTGAAGGAAACCCGAGTTCCAAAACCCAAAATTCAGCATAATCTCAAGGAGATTGAAAGGGTTTGACCATCAAAACGACCAAAATTCAAAAGCTGGAAACCATTGATGAAGGGGAAGAAGAGGAGGAGGCTTACCGGCGATTCCAGCGGACTCGCTGCAAACAGAGTAAATAGAAGACAACCCAGCTAAGATCGCCGCCATGCCTGACATTGAATTTGTTGGGTTTCAGTCTCCGGCCGCCAATTCCCTTTCTTGCGCTCTGGCGGTAGGCGTGAGCTTTGCTTGGACGTTTTCACTGTGCATTGCAATAATGGTACCTTACGCCTCTATTTATTTGAAACACAAAATAATATTTACCAAAAAAAAAAAACACAAAACAATATTTGAAACCTAATAATAAAAATTGTGTAATAATAAATAACTTTCAGTTGTCTCACAAGTCAAATCACAGCTGTGTTACGGAATTAGGAAGGAATATCCTGCTAAAAAAATCAAGCCTAAACCTCTCCCGCCCTGTGCCTAGTCGGGCCCTCCAAAGCAATAATTAAGAACTAATAAAATACTAAGAGGATCAACCACCTTAACCTCTTTGTTTAACTCATAATAATAAATTAATTACTCCTTTTTCCAGCCAGTCTTATCCACAATGTAAGTGTTCATATATATTTTTATTATTATTTATGAAAACTTATCCATTTAAGTCCATTTGAACATTTGATCGAAATTGTCACGCTCATTTACCTCAACGTGTAACAAGAGTACGTTCAATCGCTGATATGTTATCTTATTATATGCTAGACAATTTTTATCACCTCATAAAAACTTTATATTCATAACTTTCTTGCATATTAGCTATAATTTTGATTGGATCAAAATTGATTCACCAAAATTCATTAATGAATAAAATCTCAAACACGCTTGTTTTATTATTATTATTATTATTTATGAAGGTAAAAGTTGGAATACCCATAGAGTATATTATTTTCAATCTATATTTTTCTAATCCATCTGAATTAGATTGGCATAACTTTCCTATCAAGTTAATTGATAAGTTTCGTTTCCCATACAAATTCTCCAACCTAAGCTTGGAAAGTTGGAATTATTTTCGTCCATGTCACTAAATCATGACAATAAACCCCATTAAATTATCAACCGATAGAAAAACAAGAAATTAGGAACCCCATTTATAAAAATCGTTGTTCTTATTATTGTTGATTTATTTATTAAATTTCTCTTGTCGTCCTTTCCTTTTCTGTGTTAGTTTTTTGGATGGATTTTATTGGAAATTGTGGGTTTCTCTGGACAGGAAGAAGGCAACGAGACGAGAGAAAAATGTGTGGTTGTCTTCAAGATGGGATGTGAGTTGTGTCATGTGTGCCAGTCCAAGCGGAGGTGGGGCCCAAAATGAAATGGGCCGCTTGAACATATTGTTGTAAAACCGATGTTTATTCTTTGTCAAAATGGGCCCCACGCGTCCAACCCAGCACCAAAAGCCCAGGTCAGTTCATCAAGTTGTAGAAAGCGCAAAGAAATTGTCACATGCCTTATTTTGTTTTTGTCCCATCATCTCCACTCGCCTTTTCTACTCCATGCTAGAGGAGAATGGAGATGTGCAAATTTCTGAGGCAAAATACATCTGTATAGCCAAAACTTTGACGATTTTGCCAATAATAGCCACTTTTGCGAAAATACACAAAATAGTCATTTTCGTCCAATTCTTTGACGGTGTCAAGTAACGGACTGACTGGACTAACGACATTGCTGAGTTGGCGACAGGTAATTAATAAAAATTATGAGGTGGAAAATAAAAATAAATAAATAAAATATTTTTATTTTATCTCTCCCATCTCTCTACTGTATGCAATCTTCCATTCAATGTTGACCTTAAATCAATCGCCTCTTTCAGTAAAAAAAAAAAAAAAAAATCAATCGCCTCTTCACTCCTTCAACATATTCGGAAAGCCATCAAAAGCCATTGTTGCTTCCTTCAAGGAATTTTGTTTCAGCTCCATTTCAGATACCATCTTCTGTCCATCCCCCAAGCCGAGTCTCCCAAGAAGCAGAAAAACCCCAAAATCGAAAACCCTAAACCTACCTCCAATTCTCCAGATTTAGCACCCGATGGGAAGGTTCCCGACCCTGAACCACCCACTCACGGCGGAGATTCTTCGGCTGACCAGAAATTAGAGCTGTCCAAGATGGAAGGTGCTAGAAGTCACTGTCGTCTTCACTGTGGTCGGCGACAGAGCCATTGGATGCGAAGCCGATATGGACAGAGGTTGGATATGTCCAACGGCGGCTGCTCCAACTCGGATGTTGACACCAGATCTCGCCGGTGGGTCGTGAGGTGATTCTCTATCCGGAACAAATCTCGCCGAGGGAGAAGGAAAGGAGCTTTTGTCTTCCACCTCCCAAACCACCATCGAAATAGATTCCCTCGACGAAGGTATCGACTTCTTGATGCCTCCTCCCCCAACTCGCCATCGACTTCTTGGTGCGCCATCTTCCTCGTTTCAATATCCATCGCCGGCAACGGAGGCAAAGAAAAGGATGAGGCAGGGAGGCGAACATCGGGACAACATTGTCATCTTTAGCGTTCTTTCAAATCCCTAATATCCAATTGATAGCTTCATCCAATTCTTTATTCCCGATTGAGCGTGTGTGATTTTCATTTTTTTGTGTGGCCATAGCTGGTGTGAGTCTCGTCGCTGGTTGGTTCTCGTTCCGGGGAGAATTTGGGGAGAAGTTCGGTGAATAATGAGAAGGAGAAGAGATTCAATCGGAGAAGATGAAGTGAGGGGAAAAGAACATAAGAATTAAATTAAAAAAATTTAATTTTTTAAAATTGAATTTTTTAATATGACTTGGCATCCACCTGTTATCGGAGTTGAGGTGGAAATGAAAACGAGGGTGAGTTGGCAGCCAGGTAAGCGTGCTGTTAACATGACTAACGGTGTCACTAACGCCGTTAAAATATTTAACGGAAATGGCTATATTTGTCATGAAACTTTCAAAATTCTGGCTATTTTGTGTATTTCGCCAAAAGTGGCTATTATTGTCACAAACGTAAAAGTTTTGGCTATACAGATGAATTTTGCCAATTTCTTAACCTGTTTAGAGGGCTTTGAGCTGTTTTTTTTTTTTGTCGGGTTGTTAATAATGCGAGCAGAAAATATAGACACGTTTTGTGTATATAATTAACTTCTGATGTGTAGTCCAGCCCAGCAGTCTACTAATGTGTGGCGTGGGGCACAAGACTTTGATGAATTGGGGGAAAGTATTTAATGCTAAATTATGTGTGTGATGAGTGATGACCAAATGCATCATGTATTCGAGGGAACCCAAATACTAGCAAGGGTTTGAACTAGTTGTAATGCACTAGTTTTGAACCTGGTAGGTCTCAAGTTCGATTTCCTTCGGTAGGATCTAATTATAAAAATCAACATATGTTACCTTATTTAAAAAATAACAACGGACTTCAACACAATGTATGATAGGCATGTGCAAAATTCAAATTCATGGGTTTGCTTTTCATTTGAGGGGGTTTCTAAGACAATGATATAAAATCCATTTTGAAACATCTCCCATTAAATCGAGTTATTATAACCAATTGGTTCTTTTACATTAACCTTGTATCGGTTTTATTTAGTGATGAGGATGTCACGATATAAACCATGAGCTTGATTGTTATGGCCTTAGAGTATACGAGCTTACTATGCGTTAATCAAAATTACGAGCTTTCATGATGAACCACGACTTATAAGTGTGAGAACAATCATGATGAGACGACGTACTATAACTAGCCCGAAGCATGGGTCTAGCTTATTAAGAATTTCCAGAAAAACCCACCTGAACATATGCTTGAGGACACAAGAGCATACAATATATATGTGAAGAGTACATCTCAAGTTATCTTACCCTCAATGCAAAGAGTACATATATACTAGCTTCCTCAGTTTGATGTAGTGCTTCATATTTCATTGTCCTTCTCTTTACTCTCATGCCTGATCCTAAAAGGATTTGGAAGAGTAAAGGTAAATGATAAAATTGTCATCATGTTCATTCGACGGCCACGAGCGCTTTGCACCTCCATCCAATCACACAATGCCTGTTAGCACGTGTTATGGTGTTTGTTTATGTATTTTTAATGTTTATTCACGTGATTTAATATATATATACATAACACGGATGATTATTAATGTGTGTACGCAAGTAGGCAACCATAATGTTTATTGCAATTATTATTATTATTATTATTATTATTATTATTATTATTATTATTATTATTATTATTATTATTATTATTATTATTATTATTATTATTATTATTATTATTACTACTACTACTCTTACTCGGAGCTATATTGCTAGAGGAGATCTACAAATTTTTTAACCTGTTTACGTCTTTGAGCTGCTTTTTTTTGTCAAGGTTGTTAATGATTCGAGAAGAAAATATAGACACGATTTATTTAAATATTAACTTTTGATGTGTAATTAAGTCCAGACCCAGTGACTCACACGAAACTACATCGTAAATTAATCCCGACTAGAGTCCAAGTTTTTAAATTCTAGTCGGGTGCAGTATAGGACAAGTATTTAAATTGCCGACTCGGGCCGGTCCATGTACCTCTACTTCAATCGCTTAAGTTGTTATCTAGCAAAATGATTTTGGGTTTAAAACTAAGAAAACTATAAACTAAACAAGCAAGGAAAGTAAATAGAGGACAATTCTACTCGAGAGGACTTCACCCGGGTATTGCTCCCCCTAGTCTCATGCTAAGAAGCAACAAACAAAGCTCTAGTGTGAAGGACGTGTTCATACACCGCGAGGTGGGTGCAACTAGCTAGGGACAAACTCCCTTAGTCGATCAATGAAGAAAAATCAACAAATATAAGTTAGGAGAACTAGCTCTCTTAACTGTTAGGTTAAGAATTGTGATTCATAGCTAGGGAACCTAGCCCTCTTCACCGATCAACCAAGGAGATCCCTAACTCTCTTAGTTAGCTAATTGAGAATCTTTGCAACAAGTTAGAAAGCTAAATCACTTAACCTTTCGGCTAAGGATTGGAAACCAAACCCTCGGAACTTAATCCGGTCGGCGGAGAGACCAATCCCGGTGGAATCACGGCCTTACTCCGATACTTGAAATTTTGGTCTTAAATCGACCTAAAGGAGGTTACCCAAGTGGCTAAGAAGTCTAGCTTCCTATTGGACCAAAATGGGATTTCCACCCTCTAGGTCAATTTTACCCAATATTGAGTTAAAGCTAGCACACTCAATCATTCATGAATAATACCTCA